CTAGATAGGAGCTCAGTGAGTGAGGGGAGAGAAGAATGTTAACATGAGTGGAGGAAGTCACAGGGTGTATTGTGGAAATGGGGCATGGTAGGAAGATTTGTGTTTATCCTAAGAACAGTGGACAGCTTTTGGAGATTTTTTAAAGAGAAGGAGTTGGGAGACTGACAGCAGTGTGGAATCCACATGGCTGAGACCAGAGTATGAGCAGATACCAGTAAAGCTGAGGCAATATCCTGGCCAGAAGTGATGGTAGCTCTTACTAGGGTGGGAGTGAGGATGGACAGAGAGATTCCAGAAATACTTGGAGATATATACACCCAATTCGATAATAGATTATATAGGGAGAGTGGGGGAGAAAGATGTCAAGGACGATTCCTAGTTTTCAGTGTTGCCCATCACTAAGATGGGGAACATTGAAGAGGCCCGGATTTGTATGGAAAGATGATGATTTACATTTGGGGCTTGATTTAGACTTTGAAACAACCAAGAAGACCTAGCAGGAGTATTTGGATCCGTGTGCCTGTCTTGTACCTTTTTGTACAGTAGTAGGATTTGACATTCAAAGCTCTACTGGTATCAGTTTCTGAACAACCCTATAAAACCTAACCATGAAGTATCTTGTTTAGGTGTTTACTTGTTTATTGTTGACTCTCCCATCAGGAGTATAGCTTCTAATAGTGCAGAAGCATTGTCTCCCTTATTTGCAACTGTACCCCCCTCATCTGGAATGATGCCTGGCTCATAGTAGGTCTCCAATAAATTATGTGAATGAGTGACCTCTGAAGGCCCAGGACATATAAAAATTTGTCATCCTGAGACCCAAATTTGCATATGCTCTGAGATTAGCATGTAGGGACATGGATGAGTCACTGCTCTGATTGACATACTTTGGGAAACTCCGAGCATCTGCCTCTTAACCAGGTTTTGTCTTCTGCCCCTAAAGGAATACCAAGTTCAAACCACCTGAGTGGCTATTTTTTCACCTGGTAGTTTATCAAAAATTTTAAAAGATTGATTATGTTCCCCTGTTGGAAAGATTGTGGTGAAACATGGGACTGTCACACTGTTGATGGGAATATGAACTTCTTCCCTGAAGTTTCTATCCTACATAATAAAAGCCTAATATGCAAATTGACCAACCAGTGGAATGACTGGCGGAACAACCACTTGCTATGATGCACACTGACCATCAGGGGGCAGACAATCAATGCAGGAGCTGCCCCCAGCCCGCAGGCCCCAGGCCAGCCATGGTGGGTGCCAGTGGGGGCCCCTGATCACCTTCCAGGCCTAGGGGCCCTACCCATGCATGAATTTTGTGCACTGGGCCTCTAGTTTAAATATAAAAGCCTTCTTTCCTTTGACCCAGCAATCTCACTTTAAGAAATATATCCTACTGGAAGGCATGCATGTAAAGAGATATTTTATATAAAGACACTCATTTTAACAACTCATGTCAGCATTGTTTGTAATAGTGATAAATCAGAAGCAACCCAAATGCCCATTATTAGGAAAATGGGTAACTAAATATGGTTCATCCATGTAGTGAATTTTCAGGTAGTCACTAAGACAATTAGATCTACAAAATAATTAAATATATAGAATATAATGATATTTATCATTAGTTTGAAGAAAAAACAAAGTTGTAAATTAATATACATAATATGATTAATTTTTTTAAGAGCAGCATAGGAAAAGATGTGGAGGGATAGACACCAAATTATCAACAGTGGTACCTCTGGAGAGTGGAATGCATGGTGAGCAAGGAGGAGCTTTTTATGTTATACCCTTCTTAATTGTTTGAAATTTCTCATTATTTTATATTACAAAAAAGTAAAAAGAGGTTTCTATGCAAAGTGGTTAAAATAAAATTGTGATGTGCCTTAAATATGGTAATATCCCTTAAAGGTTAAACCTCCACCATTAGAAAAACTTATCCAGAAGGCATCTGATACACTGGAAACAGTCTAGGCCTTGGAATTTTAGAGGTATAAATTTAAATCTAGCTTGCTGCTTTCTAGCCGCATGACCTTAAACCAGTTACTTAATCTCCCTGTGGATTTTCCTCACCTATGAAATTGAGATAAAAATAAAACTTATCTCATGGGATTTTTGCAAAAGTTAAATGAGATACTGTATCATCAAGCATCCAATACTGTGTCTAACAGCATGTAAGTGCTCAGTGTATGTCAGTTTCCTCCCCAGCGTTGCCACATGCTTAGTGCCACCCCAAGACTAGCACTGTTGAGTAGCACAGGCCAGACCTTTGTTAAAGATGTAATATGTAGACATAATTCTTCCCCCACCCCAACTCTCTCCTAACTCTCTGGATCCCTTACTTCTTGTCTGTACTCATTGCCAGTCCCTCTTCCCCTTTATTCCTCTCATATTTGCACTGTTATCTAAGGAAATGTAATAAGTACCGATGGCAAATATACTCGGGGAGATAGCTTGCTCAGAGATAAACTCTGATAGGATTAGACCTGTGTACTTTATGTTAACATGCTTCCTGGACCAGAGGTGCCTGGGTATCTGAAAAATACTCAGGAATCAAGACCTTCTGTCAGCGTCAGCACTAGGCCACTGCCCTTGCCAGGAAAGACCATGTTCTCCCCCCTCCCCCAACCCCACCCCCGGCTACCATCCCCTTTTAAGCATGACCCTTCATGTGGAAAGGAGGGAAATGCCATCTAGTATTCTGAAAACAGTTCTTAGTTAGAGAGAGAGAAATCTTTGCGCCTATATCCCTATGCTGTATGGATAATATGTTCTAGAAACTGTAAAACATCTTGCCCAATATGATTGTTGACAGAGAAGACAATGAAAAAATAATTGTACAGAGATATGTATATATTTGGGAACACATGGCATTTAGTTGTAAAGATACTCTTCTTTTTCGGTATGTTTTTCTTCCACTTTAATGTCAGATGGTAGTCCCCACTCTGCACAGCAGCATAGTCTTGGAAAGTACCTCATGGCGGGAAACAGAGAATCCCCTTTCCTTTCCCTCCTTCCCATGAGCTCTGGTATCTCATCTGAAGTTACCTTTCCACTCTTAAATGACAGGTCTCCCTCCCTTCCTCTTTCTCAGAGGACGTAAATTGTGAACTTGTGAATGGGTTTGCCAGAGTTCAAAGCAACACAGCTTTAAAAGCTTCTAATGCACTAACTCATTTTGCAAAAGGAAGATAGTAGTGATCCTTTACATTTGTATCATTGTAATTCTTTCGAAATGCTTTTACGTGATGGTCTCAGTTGATCTCAGTATTTTAAGGCAGGCAAGATACATACAAATGATACAAATGACAGCTTGTCCTTATTGAGTGCCTAGGATGTGACAGGCTCTTTCCTAAATGCTGGACATTTATCTCATTTAATCCTCACTACAACCCTATATTAGGCAAGTATTAGTATCATTCCAATTTTGTGGGTAAAGAAACAACTGGAGTTTGGAAATAACTTATCAGGTCTTTTAAATGGTGGGAAGTGAAGGTAGAATCTGAACTCAGAAAGTCAGTCTTCTAGAAATTAATGTTTTTTAAGGGAAAAATAAAAAAGAAGACAGCTAGGAAATTGGGGATAAAGAGATGCCACAGGATGAACTAAATCCTCCTATATAATAAAAGGCTAATATGCAAATTGACCAAACGGCAGAACGACTGGTCACTATGACGTGCACTGACCACCAGGGGGCAGACGCTCAATGCAGGAGCTGCCCCCTGGTGGTCAGTGCACTCCCACAGGGAGAGTGCCACTCAGACAGAAGCCAGGCTCACAGCTGGTGAGCCTCTCTTCTCCCACCTCTGCGGCAGCACTAAGGATGTCCAACTGCTCCCCATGGGGACTGGCCTCAGCCGTCAGTGTTACATCCCCCGAGGGCTCCCGGATTGCAAGAGGGCACAGGCCGGGCTGAGGAACCACCCCCCCCCCCCACCACCACCAGTGTACGAATTTCGTGCACCAGGCCTCTAGTTTAAGAATAAAAATACAACTTACGAATTTGAAAACTTGTAGAACTAAGTTTAAAAGATCAGTGATGCAATCTCTAAACAAGGCATTTATCTTTTTTAATTTGTTCATATTTTCAACCCTGATTTTGCTGCTTTTGGCCTCTTCTTGAAAACTTATCTGCTTAGTAGTGTGTGTGCCCAGTGTGGTTAGTTTTATAGAGAAGTTACAAGCTAAAGGGAAACAAAGATGGGAGGTTTTTGCCTTTGACATGGACTTGCTACTTCCTTTGTCTTTTTCCCAATCTGAAAAACCCTCCTGCTTTTAGAGAATTCAGCATCTGACTTCCTTTCACTTGGAAGGTTAAACTTGCCTGCTTGGGAAAGAGTGGGTTAAAATAAATAAATACAAAGATGGGCTTTTGTTGTAAGCAAGCCCCGAATTCAAATCCTGAAGCTGAGAGGGCTTGGGTTATCGTCTGAACTTTTGCCCATGAAGACGAGCCGGGATGATCACACCCTAGGGTGTTTGTGAGGATTAGAGACAATATATGTACATGGCCCAGCATACAGTAGATGTAGAGAAACAACTGAGAAGAAGGAAGAAGGGGTTTGCTTGTTGCTCATTTACCTTGGGACCCTTCCCTGCTTTCCATGTGAGGGTTGTGGGGGCAAGCGGGGGGTGGGGGCGGTATTCTGAGAGCTGTGCAGGATGCTATGGGGCTGGCAAACTCTCAGAGGGACTATGAGTGAGCTCAGTGTGGTCAACATATCTGGGAACCTGGAATATTTTACAGCTCAATATTCACATAAGGGATGAAATTGAAGAGAGGATAAAAGGCAGCGCAGCCAGTGCTGACGTTGGTAAAGGTGAGTTCTCTGACCCCCGGTGTGCTTTGCCCATAATAAGGGCATTCATGGAAGGGTACCTGAATGAGGATTTGATAATGAAGGTGCTCCCCTTGTCCCTGTTCTCCTGTCTCAGAGTGTCAGATTCAGCAATCTGCAAAGCTACTACAGAGCAACTTCTGGCCCCACCAGACTCCCTCCTCTGACTCCCAGCAAGCTGGCCCTCCCTCCCCTGCAAATGTCCCACCTCTATACAAATAATGTGGAGTAGAGTCCTTTCCATAAACTGCTACTTATGTTGAATCACTATTCAGCAAAATAAAGAACATGTAAGTTATTAATTACACGATCAGAGTGACAGTTGTTAAGTGTATATTAATTATTGCTCATGTAGCCTGCCCCCATGTTTTAGTTCTTTGCAAGCTAATGAATACCAAACACATTCTTTTACTTATGGCCAGGCAGAATGGCAAGAGCTGCTCAGGGGAAGAATCTTAAATCATATTCTCTTAGAGAATGAATGACCATAGACAAGTCATGTTTTCCAATTTCAGATTTGCTGTGTATGACATGGGCCCAGCTCATCTCTTCCCAGAGGTCATATTTAGTGTGTAAAAGAAAATATCTGAAAGTGCTATGCAAACCTAGGGTCATGTGTAGACTGCAGATCAGTGTCTTCTCCCTATTCCAATCCATGTGTGCTACTGTACAAAAGGAGCTCGTGTTAATAAATTCATTGTTGGAATCTTACTGCAGTTCCTTCTATTCATTAGGCTATGTTGTTGGGCAAAAGCTCCAAAATCTATTTCAGGTCAGTTCTGGGGAACAAAACAACAACAAAACAGGGTGAAGGTGGAGAAACAAAAATAAAACAGCAGATTATGATAGAATTCATGTTAGGCATGAGATGCTGGTCACTGGCTCTTCTGTTGATTGTATTGATTTCCAGGAATCCTACAGCTGGTAGACAGCAGCTCTTTCCCCCCAAACTACAGAAGGCTTGTTTTCAAAATGATGTTCTTTTTCCATTCACAGCTGAATAAGAAAGTCATCTATCTTCCTGAAAACACCACTGTCACCCTATTACTCTTCTTCAGAAAAGCCTTCAGTGATTATCCATTAACTAGACATTGGAGTGTGATACTGACTTCACTCCATCTCCCCACCTCCTGGTCACCACACCAGCACCACCTTATTTATCCCCTCTGCCTCCCATAAAGCCAGAGATGCCAGCTAGTTGGTTCCCTCCAGGTTCCCCAAGTAACTGCCCCTTCCTGCTAAGGGCCGTGCTCATCTTCCATCCTGAAATGGTGAGTTTCTCTGCCCTCTCTTTCTCACGTGTCATCTTTATCCTATCCGAGTCAGAGTCTCGCGTAAATCTTTTCCTTCATGAAGGTTTCCCCACCCAGAGGTCTCCCCTACACTTCTGCAGACCCTCTCTCCAGCTCAGCTGTCAGGGCACATCCTTATTTACAGCCCAACTCGGGAGATGACTCGGGTCTTATCTGGGGGCCAGAGCCTGTTCTGAGCAGCATTCTGTCGCCTCTCCATGGATATGAGAAAAGCAGGTGTGAGTGCCCATCATAAGCCTCAACAGACTATCTTTTGTGGGCTGTGTCCAGAAGGTGAGGTGCGACCCAGAGCCATTGGCTTTGGCCACTGAGATAGGCCCACCAGCTGCTCTGTAATGGGTGCCTGTGTTTGTTTTGTTTGTGGGAGTAACTCAGTCAAAATAAAGGCAATTATACCTGAGAACTCCAGTTTGAAAGAGGGAGACTTATACACTGACACTAACATGGCAGTGTGTGTGCCAGGCACTGCGCCAAGCACCCGATGTGGATTATCTCATTGAATTCTTGCAAGGACCTGATAAAGGTAGTACTATTATATGTAATCTCCACTTATAGTTGAGGAAGCACAAACTGAGTGAGAGTAAATAACTTGTCCAATGTCTAAGTATGTAGTAAAGTGATTTGAACAACATCATATCTGAGTCCAAAGCCTAGGTGGTTGCTGTTTTAAAATCTAGTCTGCAACAGTGTTTCTCAAAGTATAATGCCCAGAGCAGTAGCATCAGTGTCTCCTGGGAATTTATTAGAAATGTAAGTCCTGAGCCCCACCCAAGTCTTACTGAATCAGAAACTGCTGACATCAGTCTGGGCTGTCACAAGTCTTCCGGGCGGTGTATGCTCAAGTTTGAGTACTCCTGCTCTACACTAACCCTCCTATGAGAAGATGCCCTATAACCCGGCCTAGAACCCATATTGATATAGAAACTTTACAAGATATCAATTATGTGTGGCCCTCTGACTGCCAGAGTCCCACCTGACATATCTGTGCCACCTGGTTCCTCATCAAGGCAGACCTGCAGTATGTCTGTGTATTGGAAAAGTAAGAGGAGGGAGTTTTTTAAAGTAAAACAAAAAGTGTTTAATTCCTTCAAGTCTTTCTTGATAAAATTTGGCACAGTCTGATTTTTGTTTCATTTGCTCGATGCTTATGTTGACCTGACCACTGGTTAATGTATTTTTGGTCATTTCTTCCATCATTCAACAAACATTTGTTGGTTCCCAGGAGGTGACAGGCACAATATGAGGCACTTATGGTTCAACAGTGATTTAGAGACAAACCCAGTCGTCCTTCTCAGGGCCTACAGTAAACAGGCCATCACTATGAAGTGTGAAAAAGTGCTCCTTATGGTAAGATGAGGCACTTGGGGGAAACAGGGGGAGGCCCCTCTCCCAGATTTGTAGTCAGGGGAGGCTTCTGGAGGAGGTGAGGGTGCAGCTGAAGACCGAAGGAATAAATAGTAATTAGTCTAGTGAAGGGAGTGGAATGGTGGCCAGTGATATGGAAGAGTGCTGCTGTCGAGAGATCCACATGCAGGAAGACCTGCTGAAGACGGCAATCCTAGCATGGCCGAAGCTCTGAGTGTAAGGTAGGGCGTGAAGGGAGATGAGGCAGGAGAGAAAGGCTGAAGACAGATGTGACCAGCCTTAGAGGCCTTGTAGAGGTTGAAATTTATCCTTAGGGAAATGAAAGGAAAATGATGTGAAGAAAATATATATTAGCAAGTTCACTCCAGTACAAATGTGGGCTTATTTTAATATAATTCTTTATTATTGTTGTATGTGTTATCACTATCGATGGACCACGAGCTCCTTGATCTTTTTCTTCGCCATCTTCCCTTTTGTCCATGCAGTATCCACTCCACATTTTTCCCAGGCCAAGTAAGAACTCAGACTCCACCTGTGAGCTCCCAACCAGTCAGGCAGTGTGGTGGTTCATTTGCATGGCTTTTCTTTCCCACCAGCCGAAGTAGGTCACCTCCCAGAGATCTGGTCTCCCTTCAGCATTGTCTCCTGCTCTTGGCTGCAGGGTGTCTGTCCTTGTTGGTGACCGTCCAGCACACAGAGCGCTATGTCACCCTGTTTGCCTCTGTCGTCCTCAAATGTGACTACACCACCTCTGCCCAGCTCCAGGACGTGGTCGTGACGTGGCGCTTCAAGTCCTTCTGCAAGGACCCCATCTTTGACTACTACTCTGCGTGTGAGTGTCCTCCCTCTCTGGCTCTGCCAGGGTCCCTTTGTGAAGTGTTGCCATTAGGGTGTAGGTAGGAATGACTTAGGATCACAAATCCTCGTAAGTGAAAAGCCACAGAGATCACTTAATCCAGCCCCCTCATTTTATAGTAAACGGAGCCCAAGCAGATAGAGTAACTAATTGAAGGTCACATACTGTTTTATTTATTTTAAAATGTATGTCCCACCTTGTTCTAAAAAGATTTAAGGCAGCCCAGACATTAAGAAAAAGGCAGAGCAAATTCTGCCTCCTAGTCTGTGCCAGCACGCTGAGATGAGGATGCAGATTTGCCTCTCATCACCCTGGTCTTAGAATGCTGACAAGAAAACTCCTGCACCTCCGGGATGCACAAGGAAGGGTCATTTGTGAACTTGTGCCCACTGCTAGGTTCGATTCTCCAGCCCGCCTTCCTGGTGGACAGTCACTCCCCTGCTGACTAAACAGTGATACGGAGCTCACTGCCCCCAGGGAGTACATTTGTTGTTTGACATCTCTGAGATGCACAATTCCCCTATGTTTAGCCAAATCTGACCTCTAAGTAACAATTGGTTCCGCTGTCTGGAACCAAAGCTCTTCCTAGCTGCCCACCTCTGCCTCTCTCCAGGAACAAAGGAACCCAGATACCCACTGGCTCCCTTTAAATGGGATAATTAACCTGGGATAATTAACCTTGTAGAAATTTTGGGAACAGAAACAGACACCCTGTTGGAAGGAAGCAGATGAGCTCCCTAAGATGAAAAGAGGGGGGGAGCATCAGCTTTACTTCTTTTAGTCCTACAAATGTCAATATGAACCCAAAAACCTCTCTGAGCCACCCATGGAGACTGATGCTGTCCCCAGAGACCCCTCTCTCTCTAAATTCAGGTATACTTTCCGGGGGGAGTGGAGGGGATACTCTTAAAATGCCTGGGTTAAGTGGGGAGGTAGGGAAGATTAGGATAGTGGGCATTTGCCCCAGCAGATTTAACAGCTTTCAAACTTTGTATTGTAAGGGCAGGTGTATTATAAGGGAGCAGAGTCTGGGGCCGCTAAAAATGAGACACGGGAAGTTGGGATGGGAGTCAGTGGATGCATCCAGGACTTGATGGCCTATTGGGGGGATGCTGGAGTCTCAGGCTCAAAGTGTGGTTCATTGGTATCACTTGGGAGCTCATTAGAAATGCAGAATCTCTGCTTCTCACCCCAGACCCACAGAATCAGAATCTTCATGCGAACAAGATGCCCTGGGGACACAGAGGTTCATAGTGAGGGCACCTTTCTTCCTGGGAATTCCCCGTTGCTGTGTGACTTAGGCGTGTCCTCTCTCCACAGCATACCAGGCAGCTTTATCCCTGGGCCAGGACCCTTCCAATGACTGCAATGACAGCCAGCGGGAGGTCCGCATCGTGGCCCAGAGGCGGGGGCAGAATGAGCCTGTGCTGGGGGCGGATTACCGGCAGCGCAAGATCACCATCCAGAACCGTGAGTGGGTGCAGAGGTGCAGACACCAGGCTGAGTCATTGTGGGGATTTCCCTTTTTCTCTGCTCCCTGATGATCTACTTGCTCCCTGCCCTTGTTTGAGGAAAATGCCAGCTGTGCTGGTACAGAATGTGCCACGACACTGGAAGTCACTTCCCTGGAAGCTGGTCTCTGGGTGCGCTTTCGCTAACGGTGTAGGAGTGGATGGTTTCCTCTGTGTCCCTGAGATTCAGGGCTGAGGTGTGGACCAGGCGCCTTTGACCCTTCCATGAATTGCTCTCAGGGCCTGCTGGGACCCCAGGCTCCTGGGTTTCCCTCTGGCCGTGCCTGTTATACCCGTCTAAGGAAATAGAGCCTTCCAAGGAGATGCCCACCTTCAGACCAGCACCCTTCAGTGGTACAGAAAAGAACACTGGGCTTAGAATCCAAATCACCGGGCTGAGTGTCCCATTACTCCCACATGTTGGCTTAGTGACCGTGGCAGCTATGCTCTCTAGCTCCCGTTGCCTCATCTGCAAGATGGGCATAATGGGCTCTGTCTCCCCACACTGAAGTGAATATCAAATGTGATATGTGAGAGTTAGGCTTAAAGCGTATCCTTTGCGGTGATTAGACTCAGGTGTGAGTTCTCTTATAGGGCGTGTGAACTTGGGCAAGTCCCTTCAACATTTTTAGCCTCAATTTCTATAAAGTGAAACTTGCCCCAGTACCTGGGGAGTTGTCAGGATCAAGTGAGATGATATGTATGAAGCACTTAGCAACAGAAAGTGTGCAGTGAACTTTAGTTATGATCACTCAGCATACCTTGGGATGGTTGGGTTAGCACCCCACATTCCTATCTTATAATCCAGGATTGGTGTGATGGGTTATTGGCACAAAATTCAGAGCCTATTTCAATGAGCTTTGTGTACTGTGTTAAGTAAACATTTGCTGGTTAAAAAGAAAAAAAAGGTGGGGGAAATACACCCAGCTGGCCACTCAGAATTCCCATAGCAACAACGTGAAGAAATCAGTTAATATTCTTTGACCATTTAAAGGTAGAGCATTTAAAGGGAGCCAGTTTAACAATTGCTTCCAACTTTGTTTCTAATACTTTGGCTGTAAAACTTATGTTTGATCCTTTGACATTCAACCTCTGGTTCCCCCAAGCTGTGTTCCCGGCTTTAGGGCACAACTGTACTTTTCCCGTCTTTAGGGGCATTCTCAAAGATTCAGGGTGGTTCCACTTTCTCCAGAGCTCGCAGAATTAGCTCTAATAAGTCTCTTTAATTAACAAGTCTCCTTTACAGTTTTTGAAGGTCAAACGAAAGTCCCCAAAGGTAATAGTCCCTGCTTTTCTGCCTCTTTTTTTTTCCTAATTTTGAGCAGTGCAGTCTGCTACCTCCATTCCCAAACAGCCACACTGGGTCAGACTCTGCTCTTTCTTACTCTCATGGGAAAGTGGCATTTCCCCTTGGTTTTATTTCTACCTTCAAGCTTGTGACATCTGGAGCCTTGTTTTCTGATACTTTTATGCTAGTGTCTGCATCATTTGTGATGAACCTGTCAAAATAGTTCTTGAATCATTTAAAATGCTAACATACTTGAATGCCCTCATTACTCTGACATCCCTAAAATAATCTTTATGTCTCTAATAAAAATTGGGGAAGATTTATAATACACATTAACCTCTGAGGGGGAATTTCCCCCAAAGCATTTTCACCATTCTTCCAAGTCTGTGGTAAGCTTGTTTCTAGGAAAGGTAGTGGGTTTGGAAAATCATGAGTAGGAAAATTATCATAGGGATTGACGTAGAAAGAGAAGGAAACAGAAGTCAAAGTTAGCTCCAATAGTGGGTGACCTTACATTTTTGTTTCATTTCCTCAATAAATATTTCTTGACAAACAAATAAGAAAGAATTGCAGATATACAGATGGTTTCTAGACTTATTGTGGTGATCACTTCATATGTATATAAATGTTGAATGACTATGTCATATACCTGAAATTATTACAATATTGTATGCCAACTATAATTTTAAAAAAAGAATTGCAGATATGACTGTCAACTAAGCAGGAGCAAATCTGTAAAGTAAGGTCCTTAAGAATTTGAAGATGTCCTCTGGCACTTACTGTGGCTAAAATAATGGAGTCTTGGAGGCTGCCCTGATGCTCCGACTAGACTTTAAGCCCTTTTAGGACAGAGATGGGTCTTATTCCTCTTCAGATCTCCCGCATTTCCTCTTGAAATCGTCCACACAGTGTCTAACATAGTGCTGAACCCACAAAAGGTCTTAGTGAGCCTGTGTTGCATTTGCTAATCTTGAACATCCCATTCATCTATCTTAGTGGGGGAGCACAGTGCTTGGTGCTCCTGATAACTGAAATTATTATTTTTTTTAGTAACATTTACTCTTAAAACAATGGCATTTCATCCTTGCCTATTCAGGTTTATCTCATAACCTATTCCTTTAAGATCCAGAGATATCTGTTCACAGCTGGCAAGTGAACCAGGCTATGGCATTGTCTACCTAGTTTGGAGAGGATATGAGAACTTGGTGGTTAAGAGCACCAGTAGTGAAGCAGAGAGACAGGGTTTGAACCTACCTCTGCTAAGCATTAGCTCTGTTATTAAGCCGGTTTCTTAGCCTCCTGGAAAAGGCTAAGGCCTGCTAAGCCTCTCTGTTTCTTCATCTGAAATGCAGCTAATAATGGTACCCACGTATCAGGATTACAGTTGTGAATATGCAAAAGCCCCAAGTATTAGTGACTTAAACAATAAAGTTTATTTCTTCTCTTATGTAAATTTGAAAGTCGATGGAACAAGTGTAGTAGTGGCTCTCTTCCATTAAGTCCTCAGGGCCCCAAGCTCCTTCCAACCCACCAAGAATATCATCATCGTCCTCATAGTCCAAGATGGCAGCCATCATATTTGCTTTCCAGATAACAGAGTAGAAGAAGAAATAAAGAACAACCCTGGCCAGTGTGGGTCAGTGGTTAGAGGGTCATTCCATGCACCAAAGGGTCACGAGTTCAGTTCCTGGTCAGGTTGTGGGTTCAATCCCCAGTCAAAGCGCATATGTGAGGCAACCAATCAATGTTTCTCTCTCTCTCCTTCTCCATTACTCTCTCTCTCTACAGTCAATGGAAAAAAACAACAACACACATATCTTCAAGTAAGGATAAAAAAAAAAGAGGAAATGAAGACAAAAGGGTAAAGGTGTCCCCAGACTGTTTTTAAGAAAGTTCTTGAGTTATGATGTAACACTTCTGCTTACACTCTATCCGCCCTGAGTCATATGTCCATGTCCGTCTGTAAGAGAGAATGAGAAATACTGACTTTATTCTGGATGACCTCATACATGACCAAAAATTCTATGACTCTGAGAGAAAGGGAGAATAGACACTGGGAGACAAGTGGTAATCTCTACCTCACCCACTTGGAGAGTTGTAGTGGGAATGAAATGAGGTGATCTATACAAAACCCTTTCAAAATACCTCATAGGGCTCAATGACTGGTCAGTTCTACCTCCATTATACTGTTTGGAGAAAGAGGAGGGTCTCAATAAAAGGAATGAGGCCTTTCTCTGAACTATGAGGGGTCCACTTAAGATGTAGAAGGACAGTGCTAGGGTCTTGAATCTACAATAGGTCAGAAAGCATTTCCCTCTCTTTCAATCAGTGCACATTCTTCCTCCTTTCTTGCAGGAGCAGATCTGGTGATTAATGAAGTGATGTGGTGGGACCATGGAGTGTATTACTGTGCGATTGAGGCTCCAGGGGACACATCAGGTGACCCAGATAAGGAGGTGAAACTCATTGTCCTGCGTAAGTACTGCGGGAACTTTTTATTTATCTGCCCCACCATGACACTTTTTTCATACAGGGGAAAAAAAAAAGAAAAAAGCAGAAACAAGCAAGGCCAGGTTGTTATTTTTGGATTGCCAACCTCTGAAGGTCTCTTACCAAAGCTAACCTTTTTTTTTTTTTTCATTATATTGTTCAACCTTAATCTGTAGGTTGAGAGCTGTATTTGTTAGACCTCTAGGCTATTAGAACTGCCCCTGTATATTTAGTGTGACCCCTGCTTGACTTCTCCCTTGCAGACTGGCTGACGGTGATCTTCATCATTCTGGGAGCCCTCCTCCTGCTCCTGCTGATTGGAGTGTGCTGGTGCCAGTGCTGTCCCCAATATTGCTGCTGCTACGTCCGCTGCCCCTGCTGTCCCACCCGCTGCTGCTGCCCTGAGGAAGGTGAGAGGGGATGGACAAGCAGGGGGATGGCTTGCTGCTGGAGCCTGATGCCCCAAACAGATCAACTTCAAAACCATAGGCTCTTCCAGGTTCTCCTCCACAACTTTCTCCCATCACAGGCTCGGGGGTCTTTGGCCTCAGCCCAGAAAATGATTCTTGGGCAAGCTACAGAGTCAAGTGAGAGGACTTTCTTCCTGTCCTCATTTTAGCCTGCCTATGGCCTTCTTCAAATGGCTCTGCCTACTGAGAGCATTTCCTCCGTGGCTCTGTTATACCTGTGCTCCACTATTTGCTCTTAGCACTGACCTTGCTTAACATGAGGTCGCTGGAGAGAATTGTTTAAATGTAGCAGTGAGAGAGGAGGCCACTCCTTAGAGATGACTTGAAAATAGTAGATCTGAGGAAAGAGGTGTTAGAGCAGTGGTTCTCAAACTTCAGCATCACCTCGAGGGCTTGTTAAAGCTTAATTGCTAGCCCTCACTGCCAGAGTTTTTTTATTTAATTGGTTTGGAGTGGGCCTGAGAATTTGCATTTCTCAAAAGTTCCCAGGTGATGTGATGCTCCTGGGCTAGAGCCACACTTTTAGAATTTCTGTGTTAAAGGAAGGGAAGAGGGAGCAGAAGAAGATCTTGCTTTCTTTGGGCTGACATTTGACTTTTGGATTATGACATGCCCTAAACAATTTGGCTACGGAATGCATGGTGAAGATAAAAGAAAAATAAATTATTCTACAATGATCTTTTCTTAGTAACTAGCTAGAATGGAATCAACTTCTTTAAATGGAAGTGGTATTTGTGTTTTAAAATAATATATCCTATTCCTGGTGATATCAGTAAAGTATTACATTTCTGAGGAAATTCCAGAAATTTTGGAATATGTAAAGACTAAGCACCCAGAGATAACCACTCTTATCCTTTTGGTCCATTTGAAAGGGAATTTTTTAAAGGAATTGCTTCTTAAGATGGAAACAAAACTTAATCTACAATGTTGAGGTCAATGCTCTGAGTCTGGTTTCAGGCCTGTGTTCCGAGGTTGATGTCTTACAGGAAAAGAGAACTAACCTTTATTGGCTGTTTGCTCTGTGTAGGCCCTTTGTACATATTTCCCCATTGAATCTTCACAACCCTAGAAGGCCAGTATCATCACTTTTGACAGATGAGGGGACTGAAGGTCAGAGAAGTCACACACATAGTGAGTAGCAGTGGTAGTACAGTGCTGTATCCACGTTCATCTGACTCACGAGAGCCTGAATTTCCCACCATGGAGAGACACCATGGAGAAGTCACTGTCACTGACATATTAATATGCAGGAAAAGATGAGAAAAACCCTCTCAAGGTGTCTTCTTAGCATCCCTAGGTCAGTGGGACACTCAAAATAGGCAGGACTGGGGAGAAACCCAGCATAAATGATAAATGTATCCACTGTCGGCTAATAAACAAGTTCTGGGGGAGAAGAGTTCCTCCTAAGTGGTTAGAGTTCATTTAGAAGAACTCGTAAAGTCAAGAAATGCAGGCCACAAGTAAAGGTCCCTAACCTTGAGCAGATGAGGTAAGTTCAGAAGTGAGTCACTAGGGCAGACTGTCCTTCGAAGTTTGGTGATGAGAGGAGATTATATGGAGGGGTCAGAAGTTGTTAAAGCTTTTGGATAGAGAAAGGTGTGTGTATGTGTGTGTATGACTATTTTTTGCTTGTTTTTAGAATAGGTAACCCTATTTGTAGGCAAAGAACCAAGGCCTATGGAAAATAAGTAAAGTAAGGTGATCAGTGAGGAGTGATGGAGCCAATGGGAGTGACACCAGGCTTACAGTGAAATGACTGCCTTTAGGAAAGACAGCCTGACCTCTGAAGAGAGAGAGGAAGTCATTATGATATGGACAGTGTTTAAAGTATAAGGGAGGAAGCTGGGAGAGCTCATATGTAGCAAGTAAAAATTCTAGACATGGCAGAGAGCTTCAAGAATGATGTCAGTGGTTCTTGAACTTCTCTGACCACAGCCAGTCTCCCCATCCTGCTCCTACTTTCTAGTGAGAGTTACTAGAGAACCAGAGAGGGAAAAAATTAAAATGACACCACATTTCAGTAACTTGATAATTCATTCCGTACCAGTAAAGAACCCACAGTAGAACTTAAAGGTGAAAGCTATTGAAAGTGAACTTTATTTTTTCTGGGAGAACTGGAGAAACAAGTTTCATCTCTGGATGGTTTACTGGCCCTCCTCCCCACAGAACCTCTGGGCACACCCAGCAGTAGGCCACAGGCCACAGTGGGAATCTGCTCTATGCCGTGCACCTCCTCACGGGTGAGGGATGTGTGGCCTGGTGAGACTTTTTCACAAGTACACACAGTTTTTTAGTGGCAGAGCCTGGACTAGAACTAGGTCTCTTGATTCATTGCCCAGGGTGGTTCCTCTTCCTCAACAAAGATGATGCCATCAGCTAAAAGTTCATGAGGAGGGGAAGGCATGAGACCTGGGGTATGTTTAAACTGCTGCTCTACAGGAGGGAAGCCAGGTCTAAATATTAGTCAGGGAAAGTTAGGTTGGGAGGAAGGCTCTTTGAGGTCAGTTGCCTCACAATGCTGTCAGCTCTGGCAGTGTGGAGCTAGGATGCATGTGCTGGTGGTTCCCTAAAGCTGAGATGGTAAGAATTCAAAGAGTGTGGGATTCTAGAAAGCTCCTGAGGATGTTACCAAAATGACTGGCCAGTCAAGTCATAGGGGACTGGTAGTATGGGAAAAAGTGAAAGGACTCTGTGATCATGGGTCAAAAGAGGGCAAAGAACAAGTTCTGGGAGAGTGGAGGGGATTGGTAAGGAACGGTAAGCAGTTACAAGCAAGTGCAGTTGGAGATCCTCATTAGGTGAGCAGCAGACCGGTAACTGAGTGCAGTTACAAGCAAGTCAGTGATGCCCACTGGCGATGCTGGCTGCAGAGGACAAGAAGCGTAGGTCTCTGGAGGAGGGGGAAGTGTTGAGGGTCATTTCTATCAGGAAGGAGACATCTTAAAGATGGTACCCCAGGTTTTCCTCAGAAAGGAAGGTGAACGTGCCTTTGGTGGTGTAGTTTCCCAGTATGTACATTTGTCTCTGATGAGATCTAAGGCAAAAGAAGCAACTTATAACAATTTATTAAAACAATGAGAGCCACTATCTGTCAACGATCATACATTAGGCACTTCATGTGAATATCTCATTTAACCTCAATAATCTTGTGAAATAGATACTATTCCCATCTCACAGATGAGGAGACTCGGCTCAGACCCTCTAAAACAGGGGTCCTCAAACTACGGCCCGAGGGCCACATGCGGCCTGCCGAAAACATTTATCCGGCCCACCAGGTGTTTTTGCTGCCGCTGCCTGTCCTGCTTAGCAGCCGACTCGTCCCAGATCCGCAGTGTGCATGTGTGGAATGTCTGAGGGACAGTGAACTGGCCTCCTGTTTAAAAAGTTTGAGGACCTCTGCTCTAAAACCCCACTCAGAATCACACAGCTGGTACGTGCTGGGATTCCAGTTGAAGTCCATCTGACCCTCAAAGCCCATATTTAAGGAAACGTATCTCCGGGGATCATATTTCTAGAAAGATTGTTGAGGATCCTCAGTAGTTAACTCTGATTTGACTCCCAGCATTAGAATAAAGAAGCTCATTGAAAACACAGATTTTCTTGCCTTGCATTAGACTGAGGGAGGGTTTGTGGGGATTCAGGAGTCTGTATTTTTAACCAGTTCATTAAAGGTGACCAGGGCAGACTTTCCTCCATTGAGTTTCAGAGATAACTTTCTAGGAGACTTTTGAAGCTTTGCTGCTTTCTCCATGTTTCTTATTTTACTAGAGGCCCAGTGCACGAAATTCGTGCACTTGGTGGGGGGGGGGTGTCCCTCAGCCCAGTCTGCTCCCTCTCCAGTCTGGGACCCCTCGGGGGATGTCCGATTGCCGGGCCCACAGGGATCGGGCCTAAACCAGCAGTCGGATATCCCTCTCACAATCTGGGACTGCTGGCTCCCAACCACTAACCTGCCTGCCAGCCTGATCACCCTCTAACCACTCCCCTGCCAGCCTGATCAACGCCTAACTGCTCCCCTGCCTGCCCGATTGTCCCCAACTGCCCTCCCCTGCCGGCCCAGTCACCCCCAACTGCCCTCCCCTGCCAGCCTGGTCGCCCCCAACTGCCCTCCCCTGCTGGTCTGGTTGCCCCCAACTGCCCTCCCCTGCTGGCCTGATTGCCCACAACTGCCCTCCCCTGCCAGCCATCTTGTGATGACACAGGGGGCGGCCATCTTGTGTGAGGGTGTGATGATCAATTTGCATATTACCTCTTTATTATATAGAATTGCCTGATTCCTCATTAGGTGAGCAGCAGAAAACCCTCATAGTATAGACATCCCCATGGGGCTGTCTCCAGGAACAGGATGGCAAGGGAGAAGCTCAGAGGCTGTGTTTCCCATTCGCATCTCATTAGTTCCAGTGCATCAGGGAAGGGAGGAACCCTGAGGAAAAGGCGGTAGCAGCTAAGAAGGGAGCAGGTAGATGAATCTCTGGAGAATGTAAACATTTGATGGGAAAGCTCATGGAGGATCTGGAATGATCTCTAGGGAGTTATCTATGCAGGGGGTTCCATGAACTTAAAAAGTCCTTTGGAGAGCAAGGAGTAAGCCTAACTCTCCCTTTGCCTCCTATGAATTGGGGGTATGGGGGAAGGAAGTGGCCAAAAGGGGGGAGTGGTGGTACTTATTTTAGAGGAAAGGAGTCAATTAGAGGGGTAGGTGGTATATAGGGTTGTTCCCAATGGATTCCCCAATGGAAATTAGATGTCGAGGCAGAGACTAGTCTGGAGTGGGTTTTGAAAGTTGTGGAGCTGAGTTGGAGAAAAATAAAGTGGGGAGTTACCGCTGGGGAAGGGTTTTTTTGTTTGTTTCACAGAAATAAAAGAGTCTAGGGACTCAGTGGTTTGGCAGAAAGACTACAGGCTTGGGTGTCAGACACAGGGTCACACTCTGTCTCTGCCAGTCACCCGCTGTTGGACTGTGAGCTAGGGAGGTAACCTCTGGGACCCAAACTTCCTCATCTGATCCCACATTGACGATTTCTCTGAGAAAAAAAATTCTCTGAGGACTATTTAGCTTATGTAAAGTGGCAGGGCATTGTGTGGGCTGATGGTGGCTCGTGTAGGGAGCTGGGAGAGGCATCTGTTAGCAAAAAGGAGAGGAAAGTGCTGGGCTTATGTACTTGTCTTTGGAGGGTCCGGAGTGCTGTCTGTTGGCTTGAAAGTGTGGCAACTGGGTGAGCTGCTATTAGTTTGCATCTGATTTCCTCCAGGCTGGGCTATGACTCACCATTAGGGCTGGAGCTCCAGACATTTTGGGGGTCTCTGCTGCAACCACATCCTGTTGTGCTGGAAGTTTATTTTACACTGGAGCCACTGGGTAGCTGTCCAGGTGGCCCCTTAACTGCTGGCCTCAACAAATCACCCACCCTGTGCAGCTGGGTCCAGAAGGCCTGCCTTCTCTTCCCTCCTCCTGTGGCAGGAGGAAGCCTCAGGCAGAGCCTGCTGCTTGGGGTGAGGGGGTGAGGTGACACAGGGCTTGGGGAACCGAGAGGAGGTGAGAGTGCTGCTGGGAGCCTGGGACAGGCAGTTCCTGCACTCAAATACACAAGTACATTTTCTACATGCATGGATGGACAGGGACTTTGGGAGATGTGGCACTCGTCAAAATTACCTCAAAATAGAAATTCATGAGCAAAACCAACTACATGCTTTTGTTTTTAACATGCACTCATTGTGGGTTAGCTGCACCTTGGGGACTGGAGTGACATTTCCATGGATCCCTTGTGCTGCTTTTTTATGTTCTTTTCTTTGCCCTGAAAGGAAATGGTATTTCCCTTCTCCCTTCTCCCTTCTCTGCCTCCACCCCACCTCTGAGAGATTCTCGGGGAAAACCTCAACACTTAGCAAAGTGAGGAGAAGAGTACAGAAGGTCCACTGGATCCACTCCAGCTTTTTGCGTTCTCTTGCCTTCCTCCCACTAGTTTTCTCCAACCAGGGCTGGCGTACTAGCTAGAAACATTATTTACCAGTAATTCTGCCCATTGACCTCAGCATCTACGTCCTTCTCTTTTTCCACTCTGAGCAGGCAGCCCTGAGCTTCCCTGGCCGCCCCTGACTCATAGCCTCCTCTAAACTGTTTGCATGTGTACCTTCTATATTTGGCCTGTGGCTGACGGCCTTGTTGGCTTGTGGCCTGAGATTTCACTGCCTGCTTATTACCCATGTATATCCCTGCACATTATAGTTGACCTTGGGAATGGACAGGGTGATGAAATGTTTCTGAGACTAGGAAGTCAATTTTAAGGGTATACTCTCGGGGTGTGGGATTCCTACTCTTGCCTACGGAATTTATTCCCAGTTCCTTCCCGGAGAAGCAATTGATTCACTACTCCCTTACCTCTTACTCCCATGCAAGATAGGTCATAGTGAACTTTGAGGAGAGAAACTGGCCTCTTGGCAAGGCCACTTAGATGGAGAGAAGTGAAGTGGGAGGTGTGGGCCTTTCCCTGGCTGAGGGTCTGCATTTCTCCTTTTTCCCCTGCAGCCCTGGCCCGCCACCGCTACATGAAGCAGGCTCAGGCCCTAGGCCCTCAGATGATGGAAAAACCCCTATACTGGGGGGCGGACAGGAGCTCTCAGTTTTCATCTTATCCAATGAACCAGCTGCTTCAGCGAGGTAAACTTTGCCAGAGACTTAGGGTGGGAGAGGGAAGAGGGCAAGAGTAGGAGCACGGGCTACCTCAGGGCTTTCCTGACCAATATGGTGGGTATCTTTATGAATGAGGATGGGAGGGGATGCATGCAAACTAAATAATGTGGCATGTTGGTGTCCTGATTCTGAGGAGCATTCTGTGAGCCAGCTTTTCTGCATATTCTTATCCTTGTTTCCATACAGATTTGTCCCTGCGATCCAGCCTCCCACAAATGCCAATGACCCAGCCCACCAATCACCCTCCCATCACTAACGGTGTCCTAGAGTATTTGGAGAAAGAGCTGCGGAACCTCAACCCAGCCCAGCCCCTACCCCCTAACCTCAAAGCCATATCTGGCCAACCCTGCAGTATGCTGTCCTCCTTGGGCTCTGAGATTGTGGAACGCAGAATCATCCGCCTGCCCCCACTGAGAGACCTGCCATCTTCTCTGATGACCAGCAACTCCTCCCACCAGCATTGGCTCGCTCCAGTTCCCCCTGGAGCCTGGGATCTGAGGGAGGAGAGGAGGCAGCACCACCACTCTGGTTTCCACCAGGAGCTGCAGGACCGGCAGCCTCGGCGCTGGGCGTTGGAAGGAAGGGAGCTGGACCAGCTTCGGAGTGGAAGGCACCGCAGCTCCAGGCCGAACACGTCATCCAGGCCCTGGTCAGACAGGGATAGCCTCAGCGATGTCCCTTCGTCCAGTGAGGACCGCTGGCGGTTCACGCACCTGCCTCTCAGGAGCCGCTACCCAGACAGACCCCGCAGGCCCAGCCCCCGGGAGAGCATGCACAGGCACCAGAGGCGCAGGCCCCGCAGCTACTCCCCTCCCCTGCCCTCAGGCTTCAGTTCTTGGAGCTCGGAAGAGGAGAAGGAGAGGCAACCCCGGAACTGGGGGGCCCGCCGCCGCCGCTCCCACTCCCCAAACTGGCCTGAGGAGAAGCCGCCCAGCTACCGCTCACTGGATGTCATCCCAGGCAAGAATGGCAGGAAAAAAGGGAATGTGGAGAGGCGCTCGGTGAGCCTGGGGCATCCTGCTGAGGGTAGGGCATGGGCAGAAAGGACCCTTCAGCCAGGCTTGGCCACACCTGACACAGGCCACCGCTGAGGGTACCTCTTCCCTGTTTTGCACGGCAAGCCCTGTGGGCTCAGTGAGACACCTCTTATAAGCTAGAAGGGCCCTAGTGAGTCCCGAGGGTGGGGGAGGTGCTGGATGCTTACAGAGGGCTTTCTCACCCTCAGGTCCCCCCATTTCACAGGTGAGGAAGTGAGGCTCAGAATCATTAAGCTCCAAGTGAGTAGTGGGGCTAGGACTTGAACACTGGTCTTGATGGCTAAGGCTTTTACTTCCTGTCACAGCTGCTTTGCTTTACTTAGCAACTGTATTTCCATACCCCAAATTAGAACACCTGGCCCGACAGAGGATGTATCTGCCACTCTGGGTGCCTCACGTCAGTGTGCAAGACAGTGTTGTGGTCAAGGAGAGGCCTCTGAGCCCTCCCCTGCCACCTTCCTGGGAAAGGACCATTGGACTGATTTGGAGATATATATACATGTACACACTTTAGGATTCAGTGAACAGGCAGGGTTGCCACGAGGTATGAGGGAGCTTTCCAGCCTAAAAGGGATTGATGTAGGCCTTTTGGGGCCTCTGAATAAGACCTTTTTTTAAAAAAAAAAATGACTTTGAAAACGTATTTTATAATTAATATTCCCAAATTGTGGTATTCTTTTAGTGTTGTTACTTTGCAAAGTTAAGCTGTCACTGCTCAAAAAATATTCCTGAACTCCCTTCAGAACTGACTTAGAAGCTACCCACAAAAATATATTTCTCTTTTGACCAGAATCTTTTCCTGTTTCAATTCTGTTGAGATAAAGGGATATGGAGTAAGCTCCGAGAGAAGTTGCCAGAGTAGAGGGCTGTTACAGGAACAAGAGTTTTAGTCTCTCACACACACTGAAGGATTCAACTCTCACTTGGAAATGCAGGTTCTGCTGTAATTGGTTTAAAATCCAGTCACATGCATGGAGTGTGCAAAGGAGCAAGCACCTTGCGAGAGCCACAGTGCTGGTCTTTCTAGGGGAGGACTTTGGTCAGAGAGTGAGGAAGGTAGCGAAGGCCTGCAGGCATTGCTGAAATAATCAGTGACAATTATGTCATTCTCTCACAGATGTCCCATGAGAGATGCAACGACCAGTAATAATGAAAATTAGTAGTATCCTAAGTGATACGGAGCTCTGGACATCTATGCTACATCTCTTTTCATTCTTATAACCCCCTGTGAGATTGGTACTACTGTCTTCATTTTACATTGGATACAGCTCTTCCTTCCATGTTACTAGTAAGAAAATTACATCCTGAAAGAAAACACAGAGTGTGTTAGAGCTGGGACAACTGCTGTTACTTCAATTAGATAGTGACTAAACTGTCTCTCAACTGCATTTCAGCAAAGAAATGCAATTTCAAAGCCAGTTTTTGGCCCCAAATCCAAACCCCATTTTCTTTTAAGTATCTTCTTGTCTTTATTTTCTTCTCTTTAAGTGAAATTATGAGCTTTCTTGTAAGTTAGAGAAAGGTAAAAGAAATACCAATTATGTTCCAGATACTGGGGTAAGCCCTTTTCAATGCTTATTTCATACTAGAGGCCCAATGCACGAAATTCGTGCCAGGGGCTCAGCCTGCACGGCCCCAGCTGCCTCGTGGCCCTGCGACCCCGCTGCCCCCGCCTACTGGTCATTCCGGAAGGTCATTCTGGAAAGTCATTCCAGAAGGTTGTTCCACCGTCCAGTCTAATTAACATATTAGCTCTTTATTATATAGGGCTAGAGGCCCAATGCACGAAATTCAAGCAAGAGTAGGCCTTCCTTCCCCCGGCTGCCAGCACCAGCTTCCCTCTGGCACCCAGGACCCAGGCTTCCCTCACAGCCCCGGCTTCGTCCAGAAGGACTTTCAATCTAATTAGCATATTACACTTTTATTATTATAGATAATTCTTAAAAAAGCTCTGTGAGGCTCAGTGAGATTAAGGAACATATCCAAAGTCACACCATCAGTAGAGAGTGAAGCCGAATTGGAACAGTCTCTGACTCTCAGACCTGTGCCCTTTTCAGTCATGTTGTGTGGGGCAGTCATGTTTTCTGATGATATTATTTCTTCATTTTCTGACAGCTTCCTTTATCATCCAGATATACACACCAATAATCGAGATGTACCCCCAAGCAACCCATATTTTTTATTATGAACTTACCGGTGAGAGGCAGAGATTTCGCTGAAGGTCATTTAAAAAGCCTTCATTGTTTTGGATGCCTCTGAGTTTATCTCCCAAAGAGCTATCACTTTACTTTAATCACCTCCCACTGTCCACTCATAGTCTGAGTGATCAGAGGCCCAGGACCGAAACTTGATTTGGAAGATTGGTTGGTCTAAAGGGCACAGTGTTTTGTATATAACTTGAATTTTGAATGCCTTTAGTGGGACCAAAGTCTGTTTCTTTTCTCCTCTGCTCGGTGGGGCTGGATGCTTTCCACACACTTGGAGCTTGCAGCTAACTTCAGAAATTATAATACAATTGGGCCACTAGATGGTGATCTTTGATTATGTATAACGTGGAGGTTTGTTTACTCCTTGAGTTGATAAGATTTATTACTGTTTTTTTAAACCATGCTTTCAACAGTTATCTTTCACCATAACTTTTTTACAAAATACTTATTAAAAATACTTCGTTAATATTTGGAGCAATATAAATTTTTAAAAATCTTTTGGTGCACATGGAATCTTCTCTCTCAAGAATAATGTGTAACAAGTAGATACCAACAGACAAGGGTTTTCATGTAAATGAACACATGGGAATGCAAAACAGGTAAGAACTATTCTCTGCACAGTGTCCAAGAGAAAAGGGAAGTTCTGTTGAGGAATCTCCCACTTGACACCAGAACTAGGGCACTAGCTGAGATCTCGTTTTAGGTCTGCTGATCTTTTTACTCCACCAAAGGCTGCAACCTCAGAAATATGAGAAGCAACAGTGACACAGAGCTTTAAAAGCCACTGGTTTCAGACTGAGTGGCCCCTCGGCTCTGGTCTCCTTCAAACTGATTATCATTCTTTTCTATCCACCCTATCAGAAAGCCATTTCCGGTTTGTTCCGAACTTGGCCTGTACGTACTCATTCTAAAACCTGTTCTAAGAGAAAACTAATGCATCCTTTCCTCTCTAAGCTAAACTCAAACTTTCTATAGAGAATCCAGGATTGTTTTTTTTTGAATCTTTGACTTAATGAAAAAAAAAAACACCACTTTTTTTAGAGCAGGATATTTCATCTTCTCCTTACAAGGAATGTCTATTCCTTGATAATGTCTAGATTTTTCTATCTCAAACCCTGGAAAAGTTCCCTTTGTGCCACTTTGTTGCTTTCCTTTGTGTCAGAGCGCATTCATCCCATAGCTTTTTAATTAGAAACCACGTGCCTAAAACTCACTTTTCTGACAAACTGGAAACACAACATTTCTAAGAGTAGCAACATACATAAGCAATGCATTTTGAACAATATGTTTTGGGACAGATACCGTATCTTGCCATTTCAAATAAGATAAGAAGGGTAACATTCATGTACTACAGCTGTAGATACTCAAAACCTAAATAAAACAATCCCCTACCATACAAAGTTAGAGAGAGATGAGGAATGTGAACCATCGTCCTTGACCTTGTAGAGCAAGTTGAAAAAGACAAAAGACCAAGAGAAGTTGTGTCTGAAGAAAAGCCGCTGAGTTTGGTCAGGAAGAGGTAATTAGTTGATCTTTGAAAAATAACTTCAGAGAAATACTAAAATATGAAGCTAAACTTTTTAGACAAGGGTTGAGAATAGTTCAGGAGTATATACATAAGAAAGGGAGACCGGGCCATGTCATCATGAACGAATGGAACAAGGTACCCTTTTTCTTCAGGTACCCTTTTTCTTCAGTCTAAGGGAGGCTTGAAGATGTTAAACATAAAAAAGGTAGAGTGAATGAGATGTTTGGGGAGGCTGCAGAGAGGTAGGAAAGAAGAGAAACCTAACCCAGGAAGAAAGTCTGGCTTCATGAAGAGTTAAATATTTTTTGGATTCAGATCTGCTGTCCCAGCAGCCGCCACTCACCTAGATTTTCACCTAAATCAAAACCACCTTGTGTATTGTATGCATAGGAAACAAAACCCAGCTGAGTGGATTTTTCTGTTCTATTCCTCAGGAGAAAGACAGCTCCCATAGTGGAAGGAGTGTGGTCATTTAGTCACCGGATGTGGCACTACTTCTGTGGTGACTCGGCTCCTGCACATCATCGGTATCACCTACACTTCCAGGTGACTTGGGAAGGACACTGCAAGTCTGTATCTTACAACTTTTGGCTTAAATTCTGAGAATCAAATAGGAGAATTTTAAAAGCAAGAGTTTTAGGAATTAATGACTTAGTTTCAGACTTGGCTCACACTCTCTGAATATTTAGACAGTCTCTGACTTGTAAGGGACCCAAGTGAGATGTGATTCCTCAAGAACTTAATTGCCTGAGTCCTCAACTAGGTTACACTACTCAGAACCATGGCCATTCTCAAAGTGAGAACTCAGGAATCTTTAAGAAAAAAGTCAGACATGTTTCAGGAGCAGGAAATCTATGGAGTACAATAGGATAATTTCCATGGGCACTTCTCTCACTCTGTAGCATATCTAGAGGGTCCCTCCCACCTTGCTGCCCCCGTGCCTGGTCCCAAGTGCCCATGAGGGCCCAGTAAGAGATGGCACAGTAAATACTCCCAACAGTGTGCTCTCTTATGAGCCATTTATTCCAAGTGTAGCAGAGAAGCAGTTTTGTACCAGCTTGTTTTCCTTTTGTTCATTTTATGTTTTTGCTTATATCTAACTTATATTTTTGTAAATGGTATGTAGCCATTAAAATGGCTTTAAATGTTTCTTGGGAACAACAGAGTATATAAATAAGAAGGAAATAAAAATGTACTGGCGTGAGGATTCTGCCCCAAATAAATACCTACTTTGGTGCATTTGACTGGATTAAGCCTTCTTCCCGACTAAAGCTCAGAGAAGAGCCAGGGCAACCTGAGGAATTCTGGAGCCGCCTTTCTCCTGGCACCACTCAGTCTTCATAAGCAGAACCTTCCAGGCAGGTTTTGCCACTCAGAACCCCCGAAGGAGGGGCTGCACCTTCTCTATAGTAAGCTCTACCACTCCCTCCTATTTTCCCCCAGACCCTTGGTGGCTTCATGAATCCATTTGTGCTTGATGTAGAGACCCTCCTTAAAAAGACTGGAAGGATATGGCCTGTGAGAAGGTGTGCGTGCGTGTGTGTGTGTGTGTGTGTGTGTGTGTGTGTGTGTGTGTTTCTCAACAGTATCTTTATGTGGATGGCCCCAAGCTCAATGTACATCCTATTGTGTGGACGTAACCATCCCCCTCCCCCCAGTCTCATTAATTATATGTTGGAAAAATAAGCTAAATGCCAGCTTCGGGCAAAGGTGTCTTTGGTACTTTTTATTTCCATAATGTAATTGAGTATAAATTAGCAGAAAAAATTGAAATTTTAGTAGGTAATAAATACATCAAATTCAGTAGATGAGGGACTTCTGTTCAGGGCAAGATGGCATAGATTTTTTCCCCTGCTCCTTCTTGCTTAGTACAGTTCTATAAATCCTGAAAGTGGCACAAGAAACAAGCAAAGGAAAACTCTGAATGGTGCTAAAAAGAAGACAAGCTGGTTTGGGAACTCAGGACCAGAAGAACAACACAAAGGCAGGTCATCTTGTGTCCCTCAATCAATAGAAGATGGCCACCCAAACTTGGCATTTTCTGACTTTCCACCTAGCAATAAAAGGTATCTCAGCTCATTCGTCCCCCTGGATCCAGTAGAAGACCCTCTGATGACTTCTGGGGAAGCAGCTGGTAGCCTTGCCAAAAATAGGGTATGCATTTTCCTTCCCTGCTGGGTCTGAGAATCCTCTTTTCCATGGAGAGATACTGAAGTAGGTAGGAGGAACCAGTAAGAGTGAACCAAGGAAAGCAGCTGGCCCAACTGGGAAAGTCTCCGTTCCCAAGGAACGGAGACTTTCCTCCCCTGCTCAGAGACACTAGGGCTGACTGGTGGAACCAGAAAAAATGCACCTGTCCTTTAGAAGCCCTGTAGCTACCAGCCTGGTCCCAGAAGCCACTTTGTCTCCATGGAACTGAGACTCCTCCCTGGCTGAGAAACCTGTATAGCTGGAGGGTACCAATAGAAGGATTTCTCTACACCCCTCCCTCACCAAGATATACTAGTATCTGGCAATCCAGTCAGAGAAAATTCCTCCCACACACTCAGGCAGCATTAACAGAGACCAGCACAAGCCCCAGCAGCATTGGGTACATCAGACAGACCAAATAAGACCACAAAGACTGAAAATGAAACCGCCATGGGGATGTACAAGAGTAAGCTAATAATCATATGCTAAACCTAAGTAAAGTACCTCCCTGTATAGTAAAATATTTAGGTAGGACCCAGAGTATCTGAATGTGATAGACAAAATGTCCAGGATACCAAGAAAATCACAACTTAAATGAAATCAACTGATGCCAACACTAAAATCAAATGTTAGAGTTATCTGATAAGAATTAGAAGGCTGACATTATAATATGCTACAATTACAAATTCTCTTAAAACAAATGAAAAATAGAAAATCTCCCAAAAGAAATAGAAGTTATAAAAAAGAAATAGAAATTATAGAACTGAAAAATACAATAGAAATAAAAACTCACTGGGTTGCCTTGGCCAGTTTGTTCAGCGGTTAGAGCATCTGCCCATAGACCAAAGGTTTTCAGGTTCAATTCCTAGTCAAGGGAATTGGTTCAGGTTCGATCCCTAACCGAGGGAACCAATTGATGTGTCTTTCTCATGTCAATATTTCTCTCTCTCTCTCTCTCTCTCTCTCTCTGCCTCTTCCCTCCCTTCTACTCTCTCTAAAAATCAATGGAAAAAATATCCTCAGGTGAGGATTAAAAAAACAAAAACAAAAACCTTGGATGGGCTCAATAGTAATGTGGAGATGATGGAGGATAGACTTAGTGACCTCGAGGACAGAACAATAGATTTCACCCAATTTGACCAATAGAGAGAAAATAGACTAGAAAAAGAAAAGAACAGAGCCTTAGGACCTCTGGGACAAAAAAATATCCAACATTTATATCATTGGTGTCTTAGAAAGTAGAGAAGAAAGAGTGGGGATGAATGAGCATTTGAAGAAATAATGGCTGAAAACTTCTCAAATTTGATGAATGATATCAACCTAGAGAGCCAAGAAGCAGAATTAATTCTAAACAGGATAAACCCAAAGAATTCATGCCAAGACATATCATAAGTTTTTGAAAACTAAAGACAAAAACATACTGAAAGCAGCCAGAGAAAACCAATACATTCCTTGTAGGGAAACACCAATTTCAATGGATTTCTTATGTGAAATCATGAAGGAGAGATGACAAAATATTTTTAAGTGCTAAATGAAAAGAAATGGTGACCTACAGTTCTATATCTAGCAAAACTATCAGAATGAAGGGAAAATAAAAACACAGATGAATGAAAATTAAAAGATTTTGTGACTAGCAAAACTACCCTTGAAAGATTGGTTAAAGGAAATTCTTCAAAAAGAAGGAAACTTTGAGCACCAGGAAGCAAAAAGAAACAATAGAAAGAGCAGAATTGTCCATACAATAGACAATTCTTTTCCTTATGGATTTTATGTCATATTCAAATATTAAAACAAAAATTGTAATACCATCTAATATTCTAAACAATGAAATTTAAAGGTGGGAATGTAAAGGGACCTAAATGGAAGTGAGGCTTCAATACTTCATTTGAAGTGGTAAATGCTGATACCAGCACATAATTATAAGTAGCACCCAGAGCAATTACTATGAAAAATATACAGAGACAAATTCAAAAGTGCTATAAAAAAATCAATCCATACAAGTAATCTGCAGAAAGATAAAGAAACAGATAACAGAACAACAAGAACCAAAAGAAACATATGGAAAATAAATGATAAAATAGCATCCTAAAGTGCAAGCATATCAATAATTAACTTAAATGTAAGTGGTCTAAATACACCAATCAAAGGACAGAGATTGGCAGAGTAGATTAAAAAATAAAACCCATTCAACTATATGCTGCATATAAGAAACTCATTTCAAATTCATATACTGGTAGGTTGAAAGTAAAAGGATGGGGATTAATATTTCATAAAGTAGACTGCAAAGAAAATTACCAGAGACCAAAAGGGACATTATCTAATGAATCAAAAAGGATCAATCTTCTAGGAAGACAGAATATACTAATGTGTAAAAATTAAACCACAAAGCCTCAAGTACATGTAGCAACAACTGATAAAGCTGAAAGAAGAAAGAGAAATCTATGATCATAGTTGGAAATGTTAACACCTCTTCCGTCCAGCAACTCATAGAACTATTAGGCAAAATATCACAAGGATATAGATTATCTGAATGACAAAACCAACAGGATCTAATTAACATATGTAACAGATCATCCAACAATAGCAGAATACATTTTTTCTCAATTGCCTGTAGAACATTTATCAAATAGAAAAAAAACAACAACAACGTAAAACAAACCTTGACAAATGTAGAATAATTGAAATTATACAGAGTGTGAGCTTTGACTATAATGGAATCAAACTGGAAATCTATAACAAAGACAACAGCAAACTCTCAAAACACGGAAATTAAACAACACATAATTATAGGTCAAAGAAATCTCAAAGGAAATAATGGCACCTGGTGGGAGCAGGAGACCTCAGGCCATGCCCCCCGTCCAGCAGGGCTTGACAGGGGATCTCAGCCCGCACCCCCTGCCCTGGTGCCGGGGCAGGGCAGGAAGAGATTAACCAAAGATTTTATATGCATATTAGAGGCCCAGTGCACAGATTCATGTACGGTGGGGTCCCTCGGCCTGGCCTGTGGGGATCGGGCCGAAACCGGCAGTCCAACATCCTCTGAGGGGTCCCATATTGCAAGGGGGTGCTGGCCAGGCCAAGGGACCCCACTGGTGCACAAATCCTTGCACCAGGCTTCTAGTGAAATAATAAAGATAAGAGCAGAAAATAACATTGGAAATAGAAAAACAAAAAATAAAAGTCAAGGAAACAAGCTGGTTCTTCAAAATATCAATAAAATTGATAAACTTCTAGCAAGACTGACAAAAATAGAACACAAATCACCAATATTAAGAATGAAATAGGAGATATCATTCCAGATACTGCAGACATTAAAAAAATAATAAGGGAGGGAGTGCTACTACAAACAACTTGATGCTGATAAATATGACAACTTAGAAGAAATAGAACAATTTCTAACATACCAGGAACCACCAAATTTTAACTCAGATAAAGTAGACAATCTGAATAGTCCTATAATCATTAAGGAAGTGGAATTTTTAATGAAAAACTCTCCAAAATGAAATTTCAATGCCCATATAATCTCACTAGAGAGATCTAGCAACTCTTTAAAGGGTAATTAACAATAACTTTACATAATCTGTCCCATACAATAGAAGAGGAGGAAATATTTCCCGACTTATTCAGGAAGCCAGTGCAGAGCCAAAGACATTACAAAAAAACAAAACTACAAACATCCCTCCTGAACTTAGATGCAAAAATCCTTAACAAAATACTACTAATATTTTAATATATAAAAATTATGCACTGTGAATAAGTAGGATTTATTTCAGGTATGCAAGCTGGTCCTCAGAATAGTCAAAACAATCTTGAAAAATTAAATTGGAGGACTCATACCTTCCAACTTTAAAATGTACTATAAAGCTACAGTACTTAAGATAGTGTGGTACTGACATAAAAATAGACATATTGATCAATGGAACAGAGTTAAGAGTATAGAAATAAGTCCTTATATTTGTGGTAAATAGATTTTTGACAAAGGTGTTTAGACATTTCAATGGGGGAAAGATAATTTTTTCTACAAATGGTGCTGAGTCATTTTAGCCATATGCAA